TCCCCGTAATCGCCAAACAAGGTCGCCAACTTTAAATGTTCGTGGCCTGACCTTGGTCTTGCTTTCCTTGTGGTTTGTCGCGAATTGCCTTGCGGAACTCGGCATGCTCCTCCATCTGGATGTACCCAGCAGCGCGAGCTCGGAGCTTGTCCATGTCGGGAGGAGGTCATCGGCAAAGGCTGTCGACGAAAGGTCCTGACTTCAACGCCATGAGCATGGAGTGTAGTGCGACCTCAGGGTTTAAGTTGCGGATTTTGACGGAGATGCCAACGAAGCGCTCCATGAATGTCCTTAATGGTTCGTCGTCACCCTGTCTGAGGATGGCCAAGGCGGCAGATGTGATGTGATGAGGTCGGCTCATTGCGTATTGCACCGTGAACCGTCTGACCAGGGTGCCGAAGCTTTCAATTGACTCGGCAGGTAGCTGGGTGTACCAGTTGAGCGCTACCCCTTTGAGCGAGGTCGAAAAAACCCTACACAGAATAACATCGTTATTGGTGTAGAGGTTTACCTGTGTGGTGTACAGGTTGATGTGCTCGTCTGGGTCTGTCGTGCCGTCGTAGCGGTCGAGGTGGAGAGGCTTCCATCCGAGAGTGGCGTCTCGATAATGCCATCCAAAAAAGGATGACGGCGGAAGGTTGGTTGATCCCCCACGACATGAGTATGAGCATTGCTTACCTCATGGGCCGATTTGTGTGTCGGTGCATGAGATCGATACGTGGTAGGCTTTAGAGTCGGTGTCCTATGCGCTATTGGCGGTTGAGAAACTGAGTGCCCCTCTTCCTCGTTTAGGTGACTCGGTTGAGGGGGTTGATCAGAGGTGCGCCGTAGTAGCTGAGCGCGGATACGCTCATTCTCGGCGCGCAGCGCCGCTAGGTCTGCTTCATAGGCGGTTCGCATCGCGGCTAGGTCAGTTTTGTGCTTGGCACGCATGTTTTACAGATCGGCGGTGTGTTGCTGCCGCATCTACTTGACCTGCTCGATCAGCCTTCTCAATGCTGCTTCGTTGTCCATGGTAGTTGCGTGATCTAGGTCTTCTGTTGCGCATTTGCTATGGCTTCTGGTAGAAACCATAAGAGTGGCCGATAAGAGCTGTCTTGATCAGCCCCACGGTGGGCGCCAAATGTTCTTACCGGAAATCTGCTGTAGAGATGATCCTCCGAGTAAGATTGGTGAGCCTCCTTCACTGGTACTCTTGATGCTCCAAGATGGGGGTGGCACCTGCAAAAGAGACTCCGATGCTAAAGTTAGTGTTTGTGGGTGTATGAGTCTCGTATAAGTAATGCACGTACCTTTGTGTGTATTAGGGTTTTGTTGGGCCTTGCGCCCGAGATCAGTTTATGACCTAATTGGATAGCGAGCCGATGTCGCCTAGCGCGTGTCCGAGGTCACTCTGCGCTGTACGGATAGTACACAACATATTGGATAGCGAGCCGATGTCGCCTAGCGCGTGTCCGAGGTCACTCTGCGCTGTGATGTCGAGCTCAAGCTCAGCATAGCGGTACAGATAGTACACATATTATAAACTGATGCAAAGTAACGTATTATAACTTTGTATTAGCTTCGTACAGAACAGAGAACAGAGAACAGAGTTGATAGAACATTTCTCACGTGGAGCAGCACAAAAACAAGACGAGTTTTGGGCGAAAGTTCCTAAATCCAAATGCCAAGCTGTAATTTTAAAACGTTTGCAAATAATGTCAAAATTCAATTTGGGTCTTAGTTACCAATACGAAAAGAATAATCGTACATCAATTTCTTTTTTGGCAATGCGTGTTTTTTTTTGTATTAAAAGAACGTATTGCTGAAAAAGAAAAAGAAAATTGTAATACGTGGAGCATTTCATTAATTAGTTTAATTTTTGTATAATAATTATTCAATTTTGTTGATTTATGACTCTCTGCACGATTGTATCGTAAAACGACGTTAATAAGTACATATTACTAAATTTTCTTAATTACTTTAAAAAATGGTTATTAAATTTTTTATCATAAAATTATAATTGAATTTACATACTTAATCATTATATTTAATGTATAAAATAAAAAAATATTAGTAATATTTTCTACTATAGAAATAAAGTTACTTATATTTTCTTATAATAACAAAAAAATTAAAGGTCAAGTGACAAATTTTCATGTTAAAACATGATATTAAATCTTCATTCTAAAGTAATTAATAATTACAATCTTTTATTAGTTATCAATACTCTTTGCGCGTTACCTTAACATTTTATATTTATTTACAAATACATTTTTTTTCATTATAAGTATATTTTATATTATATTTTAGATTGAATATCTATAGTAAAATTTTCTCTATTAAATTTTTGAAAATTTAATTTGAAATACTTTATCCTTTAATTAAATTTTAATTTTTTTTACTATAGAATGTAAGTATGATTTTATCATATTATTAATAGTAAAAACTATTAAAATCAGTTTAATAATATAACATTGAAAAAATGTACGTAAAATTTTAGTTCAGATTTATCGTTGTTGTAATTTCTATAAATAAGAAAAAGATAATAATAATAATTGAATATATTTCAATACATATCTATAATGATCTTTAAGAACAGAAAAATAGTATAAAAAAAAGATTTTAGAGCATATCGAAACGTTTAAGTTGACTAAAATGATATAGATGAATTTGTTTATTGTTTTGAATTTTGATAGTGGGGTGACGAAACGGGGGCGTTATCTTCCGAACAGCAAATCGTGAATTCGATAGTACAGCTATACGGATTAGGATGTAAAATGAATTTTGGAAAATCACAAGTGGAGAGATAACACTGACCAAATTATTAATATAATAGCTGATATAAAATAATACTTCTCTGTTCCTTTCTATTTGTTTTTTTTTTTTAAGTATTATTTTTATTTATCATTTTAAAATTTTAAGGTAATATTAATTATTGTGTTATTAAATACATATTTACTTTACTTAATTTTTAATTAATTTACACGTGATAACTAATATATATTTAATATGAAGTAAAAATGAATGAAAGTATAACATGGAATATTAAAATTATTCTATAAAATATAAGAAAATGTATCACATTTCTTAATTTGTGAAAAATAAGTTAAATGGCTGTGATAAAAAAAAGGAATATAGTAGGTATTAATAGTAAAGATAGAGATAGGATTTCCTAGATGCAGTGGTAGAAATAGGATGAGGTGGTATGTGGTTTGGTTAGCCACAATATGAAGTAAAAATGAATGAGTTTATAAGTTTTTAAAAATTTAAAAATTATTTGATATTTAATTAATAAATTTTAATCTAAAGAATAAGTTTATAAAATGAAAAATAATATTTTTATTCAGAAATTAATTATAATTAATGAATACAAAAGATGCTGAATATATACACATTCAAGTTACTAAAAAAGAGTTATTAGAATCGTCTTTAATAGTTGAGCGCTATTAGAATAAATAAATTAAAATTTAGGTTCAATCTTCCTCATCATTCTTGTACTGTTTAAATAAAAAAAAAAAAAAGTAACCAAAATTTCAAACATCGACATGGTCACACATTCGCAATAAGAACATTAAATAATATGTTTAAATAAAGCATCGATTTAACTAGTTGAAATATCACTATCTCTTCTAACTAGTCTTTAAAGCAATAAAATCATGTAAATAATTCCTAAAGGATTGTATGACTTAATTAATGAATTCTCCGATACATTGACTGTGTGACATGATTTATAATATTTAAGAGACAATTTTTCAGTATAAAAAAATAATTCAATAACTATTCAGGAGAAAAATTAATACTTGATGTAGCAAATTATCAGTTTTCATATATAGAGGTTTTTTTTTCCTTTATATAAATTTTTTACAATATTACCTAATTAGAAATGATATTAAGTATTTTTTTAAATAATAAGTATTAGTCTATTAAAAAAATAGAGTTAATCACTGTTAATGTAAATTTTTTTTATGCTGACAATCAATTATATCTTTTAATTATGTCATGTCACTGTTAAAAATAAATGTATTTATAGTAATAATAATTAAAAAATATAGTTAGTTGTTGGTGTAAAAAAATTTTACACTGAGTATATATATAGGTAATTAAATAAAAAATAATAATGGTTTTAGGATATTTGTTATATATATATATATATATATATATATATATATATATAAGAGATTGTGTGTGTGTGTGAGGTAGCATCTAGGGAGTGAGTAGCGGGTGAGGTGAGGTACGATTAAAAAGGTGTTTCCTCCTTTTTTCTGTTTATGACATAAATAAAAGTGGTTGTTCTTCCCCTCTTTAGCAGCGGCTGAAATTGAAGTAAGTAAGGGTTGAGTTGATTGAGGATATCTTGAAATTGTGAATCTGATTTTGGGGTATGGGTGGCGCCAAGAAGCATGGTGTGAGATGGTTGTTGGTGGTGGCGTTATTGGGGTTATGGAGTGTGTGCGTGGAAGCAGAAGCAGGAGCAGGAGGCAAGAGAAATGCATACGCCACCATGATGTACGTGGGTACACCCAGAGACTACGAATTCTACGTAGCTATACGCGTCCTTCTCAAATCGCTTGCTACGCTCGACGCTCAAGCCGATCTTCTTGTCATTGCTTCCCTTGATGTCCCTCCTCGCTGGATTCGAGCACTGTAAGTAATCTCTCTCTCTCTCACTCACTCTCCATTTTTTTTTTTTTTTTACCGTTTTCTTGTCGTTTCGGATATCCTCCGCTATTTTCTTTTATTTTTTATTTTTTATTTTTTATAAAATGGAAGGAACATAATTGGAAAAGACTAATTTTAAAAAGAAAAGAAATTGATAAAAACATTGGAAAATGAAAAGGGGTTGATAAGGTTGAAGAATCAAGACCGTTGGTTCCATTTGGGTCCCTGTTATGATTATGAATCAATGTCCATGTCGCCCTCAGGTTTCAAAATCTCTAGTTCCATTAACTCTCTTCCTACCTACGCATAGGATTAGGCTCCACACTCTTTTCCACCATTCCGCATAGCCTTTACACATACAGACACCATTTTCAACACACTTTGATTGCTACACTATCAATTTTTACTCTAACAAATGCTACGAATGTTATTTTCTAATGAAAAATTGTAATTAAGATTATGTGTATTTCAATTCAAAAACAATACTCATACAGTATTTTTTTTAATATTTGCGGTTTTCCTCTTATGAGGGGAATATTTTTTCTTTCTTTTAAAAGTAGTATTCATTTATGAATAAAAATAGTAGTATTAGTTTTAAGATTCTACTCCTCTAAAGTTAAGAATTGTACTTTAAAAAATAAAGTACAATAACAACTATTAATTATAAAAATTATTCATAAATTTAATTTAGCATAATTTTAATATTTAATTTTCTTTTCAACAATTGTGATCCCACTTTATTTTCCGAAATCACTCGTCTTAAAAGAGGAAAATCCTTAATTTTAAGGATTTGTAAGTTGTGACATCATGGATTGTGATTTATGAGGGGCGGTTTGGGATTGAGCGTGAAGTTGGAGAGTGTTTAACGTCCTTGAGAAATGATTTGAAGGTTCTTTCGTGTCTTGTTCCTATTTGGGCGTTACTTTAATCACTAATTAGTAACGGACGGCAAAATAGTAATACTACTCGATTTAGTACATTTGTACTAATATATAAAAGAATATCATTTTAATTACTATTTTTATATTCACATTTAACACATTATTATGTTCTTTTATTATTAATAGAAGAATTAAAAAAATTAATAATTTTTTAATAATTACTATTTTCTTTTAATGATTATGTTCTACTATTTTTATTATATAATTATTTTTATTTTTATTTTTTAATTTTTTAAATAATATATAAAGACACGGAGTGATTTAACTCCACTGATTAATAATAATTTTGATTCTTCTATACTCTATTTTGAATAGGATAAATCTCATTCCTCATATGCTTTGTACTTAACTTTAATCACAATTGAATATTTGTTTTAATATTTTTTATCATAAAGTTTTATATAAAAAGTTATTAGTTAACGAGTGTCAATAAAATAATATTCAAATTTTAATTGAATATTCTCAAAATTTACACTTAAATTTTGTCCGTTCACGATAAATATTAATTATATATAACTAAAATTTATAATAAATTATTCATATATATATATATATAAATACTATAT